AGATTACATCTTCCAAGATACCGTATTCGCACATTCATATTACTCAAGTAATGTATAAAATATATTCCATATTAGACTGTACTTATAACTTTGTAATAGAGATCTATACTTAATATTTAAAGCGGGTAAATTTGTTTGTTCGAACGCGCTAATCTCAGAAACTATCGGTTTAAATCGAAAAATTCATTTTGTGTTAGTTGGAGCATTTATCTAGGAAGGCTATATAGGCTATAAAACATAGCAATGTGACTTATAGGAGCGAAAAAACGGCGGGAAATGTGAAAAAAACGGGGGAAATTATCATCATTGTGGGTTTCCGTAGCGTTCGCTGCGAACACGATTTAATATACCCAAAATATAAGTACGAAAAACGCGTCTGATGATGAGATAATGAACTACATTTATTTCAAAATGGTAAGATGTTTTACAGTTTATACAATGTGACAAATTTTTTCAACCAATGTCGCCAAAAACAATTGCTACTTTATTATCTATGTCTATATTCTATGTATTATTTTATTTTGATATCACTTTATAGGGAACAATACCCATAAGTACGAAAGAACATGTTGTCGATGACGCAGCTAATATGAAATAAAAACCCATGTAACACTGGTAATGATAAAATTTTTCTGTTTTTGGCCGTCGCGACTGGCTAAATTGTTTTTGGTGCTTCAACAATTTAATGAAATTATAACCTAAAAAAGAAAACCCTATTTTAAACAATAGTTTAACGTCACTACTGTGAGTGGGATACTGTTGTATTCATAAAAATCAGATCGCCCGAACTTGCTCTATTGTCAGGCGAAACGGACGCGCGTGCCTAGTTTACTTAGGAGAGCCACAGTAGATATTATAACAGAGGCGAAAACATATTATGGAATATCGATATCCGCTAGTTTCTTGCTAGTACTGCTCGTTTGTTCTACGACCTTGTATTACTGGTAGTGAATAGTAAATTAAATTTTTGTTAAAGAAACAAAACACGGTTTATATTTTGTAATGCAAGCGTTTGTTTTTATTTATTTTTAACTACTACCCCCATTGGCCGTCATTGCATACATGTAAAGCTTTAACAGTGTAAAACGCGAAATATATTAGTCAAACTTGTTTAAAAATTATTTTAACTAGCCTGATGTTTCGTTTGCTTTGCAGCAACCATGGTCATGGGGAGACTAAAGATGGAGAGTTTCATCTAATGTCAAAGTACAAACGGCTACGCTAGTGCCCTCTGTTCCATCGTAGTTGATATTTGACGAATATTTTCCGCGTTTTGAACCATTAAAGTATTTTATTTAGATATAAACGCGTAAACTACAAACAGTATTTACATTCATATCATTGTTGTTCGGGCTGTTCGGCCGAAGGTAGCCGCAGGGATCTTCGAGCAATCGAGGAGCCAACATCACATGATGATGCCGCTCGTGATCGCAAAACGTCGGGAACCTCTTCTCACTTATGTCGGCCGAACTACCCGAAAAACAATGATATGCTGAACGTATTTACATGTTTACAAATTTTTATTTACAATTTATGTAAACTACAATTTTATTATCTTACAAATCTATTTTTTAAAAGGACTGTGTGTTTTTATTGTACAGTTTCATCATAAGCAGGATGTCTTAATTTATTTGCGTCTGTAATATTCACCACTGTAAGTCTATAGACTGTGTGAAAATCGTCAGCCGTGTGAGGAATTTTAAGGCTGCAGCTGCAGCTTGGACGATTTGTTAGGTTAAATGAATTTGCCACTTTATTGTAAATACGAATTTCGTCTACGGAATTATTTACCGGTTTCCGCTTGATTGTGGCCCGAATTCAGTTGGATAAAGTTAAATGAAATTATTTTATTTGCCCAACACTGTACCTACCGAATTTATACAGCATTTATCCAAAACATACATACGTTAAGAACGCGAGAATCGTTATTTTTGCATCCAAATTAATTTTTTCAAACCCCTTCCTTCATCTTTGTAAACTTAAGCTGTTTACCACGACGTCTGTCACGTCCCTCCCCGTCGTTCTTGCAAGAATTCTTAAAGATGGCGTCTGAGACTTTTTTTGCCATCATTTCAGATGGACTTGCGATTCCTTCATACAATTTTTTGGGTATCTTGAACCGTTTTTGCATCTACATTTCTCGCTGCATCTTGGCTTGTATTAGTCACAGGGCGATATTTTCCTCGATAAATGCTCTAACTAATACAAAAAGGATTTTTCAATTCGAACTTGTAGTTCCTGAGATTAGCGCATTCAAACATACAAACAAACAAACTCTTCAGCTTTATATATTAGTATAGATAATTGAACGTTTCGTATTTAAATACTGTCTTAAGTACTTTACGTGAGTAGTCCACATCCACATCCACCACGACCACGGCTGCTGCAAATCATCCGAAACGTTTGGCCGTAGGTAGAAAAATAATGTGTAAATAAGTTTAATCAAATACTGTCTGTAGTTTACGCGAGTAGTACACCTTCAAATAAGTTTAATTAATATATCGTCAAAGTGTTTTTTAAATAAGTTTAATCAATAAATTTCGCGTTTTAAACCGTTACGAGTGTTTTTTTATTAAATCTAATAAAAACCTTGAAAATAAGCGACGTAAAAGAATTTAAATAAAGATAAATAAAATAAATCTACATAAAAGTAACACATTACTTCTTCGGTGCAACGACCACAGAACACCTGTTTCAGCACAATTTGTTAGTATAATATCGATGTTTAAGTTAGTCGCAATTAAACATTTACACTACAAAACGAATAAAAATTGAACATCGCTAAATATTATTTAAAAAATCGTGTTGCTGTCTGTCCGTCCTACATAGTATAGTATACATAGTAAGTCTGTGCAATCTAGTTTCCCCCATGGGGCATGGGCGAACACATTTCTGTGTCCGTTTCAGCAACCGTTTTTATTTACAGGCCAGTAGTTGATTAGACTTCCGTGCCCTGCCCGGCCGAAACAATCTATTGTTTTTCCGGATTCGAACCCAAGGACCATTCGCACTTAACGCTCTGCTGGGCATATAAATATTTAGCTACACAGACGGTCCCTTATGTATACTTAAATCTAATTAAACACAACGGACTCTTGAGTCTACATTACAAACGCTGGCTGAACCCCACCAGAAAAGGTGGACAAAAATACTATGGCATATATATCTCTTAAAGATATCCCTCAATAAACCTTATTTCGTTCTTTATACTTATTGGATAAAAAAAAACTTATTTACGAAGTGAATGTAAGCGATACAACATGCATTTAATAATTTTTATCTAATTACGTACGTCAAATACATTGTCTATTAAATATAGTCTTATGGCATTACACCATGTTATATATTATACGTAGGTATATTTAGTTGCACCCGTGCGAAGCTAAGGCGAGTCGCTTGTATAACATAACAATATTTAACAATATGTATATTTCAGAAATATACTAACATTTTATATTCAACATTTTGTTGTCTTCGCATCGCTAATGAGTCACACTAAATTCCTCAAGACAAGTACAGTGACGGAGGAGCTTGGAAAATTACTGCGAAAGCCGTATACAATTTATAACATACTAGCTGTGTCAACGACTTCGTCCGCGTAGAATAGTTATTTTGGGCAATAATTTGATTTGCTACTTTATCGATTTAAGTTGTTGCCCACGAAGTCGTGACCCGTCGTTCTTGCAAGTTTATCTTAATAGATGTAGTTATCCCGGACATTTCTTAGATCATTTAAAGAGGAATCATTCTTTCATACATAGTTTTCGGGTATCGTGTACCGTTTTCTGAGTTTTTAAACTGTTAGCTTTATATATTTCTATAGAAATACTATCTGCTGATGATTTGTGAATTGATACCTTAAATACTGTCTATAGTTCACGCGAGAAGTACACATTTAAATAAAAAACTTTAACGGTTTAAAACGCGATATATTAGTTAAACTTATTTGGAAATTATTTTCAGTCTCCCTGACACGGCTGCTGCAAAGCATCCGAAACGTCGGGCCGAAGTTAAAAATAATTTCCAAATAAGTTTAACTAATATATCGCGTTTTAAACCGTTAAAGTGTTTTATTTAAATTGATACCTTACTTATTTATTTCAAAATATAATGCATAATCCTTTTAAGAATTATCTTGGGTATATAGTGGACCGTCCTTATTCATACACGTAAATCCTTCGAGTTTCTCCTCTCATATTATGTCGTTACCATCCAGATTCTATTAAGCTTTTCACGTAGAGAAATGAGAAATATAAAGCGCACAGGGCACAGTTAGACTGAAAACCAGACTCCTATTTGCAAATAGATATCTGAATAAATAATTTACGTTTCACAGCGCTTCAATAAGTGATTTTGAAAAATTGAGTTTGCTTTTTTTTATTGAACTCTATAGTAGTGTGGATAGAAGAAATGCGATAGTGTTATAATTTTTATTTGGAATTTTGTAAGTTAATTTGCAGTATAAATAACGTTGATGTAGTTATTACTGTTGTTGTACTTAAATTTAAAGAATCACTTTTAAATATTTGAAATTCAAATCAATTGATTTGATTGATTCAATTGATTTTATATTAATTTATTTATTTTTAATTACGATCTGAGGTCAAACGTGTTGCCGTGAAATAAGCACGTTGTGGTTAACGGTTCAGATCCTGGGGAAACGATATTTAAGTCAGTTAGACGGAACAAAAAAGTTTTTCTACTTATCTGTACCAAAATCGATCGTGAAACAACCACAGAATTGTGTCTACGTCCTTATATAAGATAAAGCGGTAATTTACACTATAGCATGTTACTGTGTTCGACTGAAGCCTAGCAACCAACCTATAATATTCCCTTTTTACTCGTATTTAAGTAAATAAAGTACACATTGCTTTTGTTAACTAGTTTTATTAATTTCAATCAACGATACGGGGCAACACAATGACAATCTCTTAAAAATTATACAATATAGACGTGCACTTTTGAGATTATAACACACATTAGGAAACGCACACAAACTACCGTCGCTTCAGGTCATTAATTACGTAATCTGTCACTAAAGATTTGACAAATGAAGACTGTACGAAATCGTAATGTGTAAAGCTGTCTCTAGTTAATTTCCGCGCCTTGGCGTGAGGCAGGTCTCTTACCATATCTAAAACGTCATTTTCATCGAGCAAGACGTCTCCAAGGGTGTAATGCATGGTTATATCCACGTTGATGAGACTGAGATTGTATCGCGGTGGAGTAAGAGATCCATATCGTAAAAGATTTTCACCTAGCGAATAATTCCATCGACGGAATGTCTTGTCCCTTACATTCTGACCGTAATGCGCCATTTGCTTTACGGCTGCCGTTGTTCCCAAGTCCGATATAGGAACGCGTACTTCCTGTAAAGTTGTTATTGTGTAAGGGTTTTCACGACTATCGTTTAGCATATCATTGTTTTTCGGGCTTTTCGACCGACGTGTGCGAGACGAGGTTCCCGATGTTCCGCCATCACGAGCGTACGACATCATCTGGAGATGTTAGCTCCTCGATTGCTCGAAGATTTATGATTCGGCCGAACAGCCCGAAAAACAATGATATGTTGTTAAACAGTCTTTTACACACTTAAAAAAATATTTTATATTGTTATTAACTATAAGACAAGCACCGGCTGCCTATCGTGAAGCTCTAATTGAGCTACCGTGTGAGATGGTATTTAGAGCTCATTGAACTAATGGTATCAATGTATGCCTAATAATCAATCGGGTGCGGGGTTAGATTCCCACCGGGTTCAACATGTGGTAAGAATATCAAAATTCCAATCGATTCATGCGCCAGCATTCAGATGACGACACTATCACTGGTTATTTTTGCTTGTGTCACAATTGTCATTAATTTAATGTATTTACACATAAAAGAATGATTAGACGTTCTTAACTTACACTTGGATCTTCTGTTTTTTCTGTTTCTTTTGGAGCGGCACTTAAGAAACCAGAGTCTAACTCAACAATTCCAAACATCTTTGTAACTTCCTAAAACGTAGAAAAGGTATTAGTTTTTACACATGTACTAGAGGCCTTCTAATAAGTTGCAGAGATAGAGGACCTAAATAAGTACTTACAACAAGCGGATCTGTCAATAAAGCGTAACGTTTCATTCTTTCATTAGGAAAGTTTTTCTGATAACCAACAGCCGCTAACAGATGTGCTGCTTTTATTTTGGAATTGTATTCGGGCTTCATAGAATTTAAAACGAGGAACGTGGTCCCCCCTTGTGAATGGCCGATATAGAATAGTTTGTCTTGACCAGACACTTTTAAGGCAAAATCTATCATGGCAGGGAGATCGTATAAACCTATTTCATGCCAGGAATAATCGAAGAACTTATGTTTCTCGATTCTATCATCAGGATCCATTTGTTGATGGCGGCGGGAGTTGCAGACTCCTCTTGCGCTTCCTAGCCAGACGTCAAAGCCTTCATCAGCTAGATTGAATGCTGCAATTATTTATTGTTCATAAAATTAACACAGTAATACTTGAATCTTCATAACTTTATAAATTACAAGTATATTTAGAGCTATTTATTCCGATGAAAATTATCCATGACTTGGTAGATTCTTTATAGAATAAACTACTGTCTTCAAATAATAATTAAACATTAACTTAAAGTCGTGTTTTTGACTTAATCTGTATTATTTTGTCAGAAAGGTACTTTAACTCGTCATAATTATGTATATTAATCGTCGTAATTAACGTTGGTACAATTACCAATGGCATATTGTGATCCTAACTCAACGTAACAGCTGGGAGAAGCAAAGAGGCCATGCATCAAAAAAACAACAGGCCTGTATATAGTTTGATTTTGATTCTTTCCTTGAGGGATCCTATGCACTTGTAAGATGTAGCCATCTTCAGTTATCACATCAAATTTCTCATGCGGGTAGCCAGCTCTTATTATTTTACCTTCCTGTAAGAAATATGGAAAGTTATAATGTTTATTTTTTAATGGAAATATCGCAATTATTTATTAGAAGTTAGCTATTATTAAATAACGGAAAAATCGATAAAAATATTTTCCTCCTACGTAAATACTGTTGGTTCAGGTTATTAAAAAGAACGAACATTTATTCATTTATTTACCATAAACAGATGACGACATAAAGTTTACATTAGTAATATTGCAAGTGTATTTATTAAATGAGTACATTTCTTTGCAAAATTCTAAGTGTTTTAAGACGCAAGTTTTTGGGCTTGAATACAGTTAAATGACACGATGTGAAATCAAATCTACTAACATAGTGTAATTTCGTTTAATATTAATTGTTTCTGAAATTGCCATACTGTTTCTATACGAACAATCTGTTTTTTTTTTTGTATAGGGGTGACTCATTCTTACATATTTTTCCAGACCTGGATTTAAACATATTTGCTGTTTAATCATTCTCAAGGTTTTCATCGGTCGAAAAAAAAATGAGTTAAAATAACACAACGGGGTTTGTGTTATTTTAACTCAATTTTGCAATATTTTTTTACGTAAAATAAACCAGGAAACTCATTTGCGCTATCGACTTATAGATACGACATTTTGACAATTTGAATTATCATCGTCAAGATATTTGATAATTGCTACGTTATCTAAGTTTGTTATTGCAATTACAACTGGTTTATTAAATGGAAATAAATGAAAAGCGAAAACCGATTGTATTTTTTATGAAAGAGTTTCACTTTGATAAAAATTAATATTTTTCACATTTATTGCACATGAAGGCACTATATAATTTAAAAATCGAAAATAAATTGAAAAATTTTCGACTCGGGCAGGACTTGAACCCGCCTCCTCCGCTTTCCCTGCTGTTGCTCTACCAATTGAGCTACCAGTCGTGCTCGGTAGCTCAATTGGTAGACCCTCCCCCCCGGGTTATTAATTTTTTTTTTTTTTTTTTTTTTTTTATTTTATTTTTTTATTCTAGGGATAAGCACAACATCTAATTATGATGCATTAAAAAATAATTTTAGTTTCTGGTTCTACTGATATTTATTACACTCTATGGATATATTCATCAAGATGTTTATATTTGTAGCGATAAATGTTATCGATTCTTTAATTTATGTAGAATGATATTTTTTTGTATATTTGAATATCGCTTACGCAAATGCGTTTTGTACTTAAACAAAAATTAACGTAGTAAAACTAACTCTTATTTTTTAATTTGAAAAACTAAACATAATTGGTTTTTATTCAAGTTGATACGGTTTACGTATTGTTTAAACAATATTCTCTATTTTGTTTTTAGGCATATTTTGATTTAATTATATTATACGAATTTTACGATTAGAAACACCAATACAGTCAGTCACAATCTTTTGTGAAATTACTTTTTTTTTGTGAAAGCAATTATGTCCCAATTCATACTTTTTTTTTGTCATGTGCTGTCTTGGCTAGATATTATTCTGATTACTAAACCTGGTTATCTGACCACTGGTATAGTATTTGCACATAATATTTGTAGGAGACTTGTTATATTATGTCTTACAACCAGTATCACGATTTGACCATAGTTATTGACGGCATGCACCTTTGTAGAAGCCGTGCAAATTATCAGGACGAATTATTTATTTAAATATAGAGGCTCTCATTATCAAAAGGCAAAGAGCCGAAGGCATTCTAAAAAGGAATTTTGAAAAAAAATCTAATCAATAACTTACAGTATCACAAACGACATCGTTGTCACTACTATTCACTGGTAGTGTTATTAGTAGTAACACCACCGAACATTGAATTAATACTCTAATTATATTCGGCATGTTCACTCGTTACCTACACCGTAATAATGAAACATATGTCTCTAATATTGTCTCATTTTATAGCTTCTCTTATCTTTATTTGCATGTCTCAAAATTTATAATAAAGCCGCTTATATAATCTAGTTCATCAAGGAAGCCACACACACACACATAATCTTTTAGCAGGGTGAAATTTTATAAGCCCTACACGATAAAGGCTTATCCTGTACAACGTGAACTATAGTTCTATTGAAGATCCTGGTTTCGAATCACACTTTTCTGTTTAAGGGGGTTCTTCGATAAAAATTCCTGATTTATGATTGTACAGTTTATAATGGCTTAAGTATATATTTAATTAGATAAAAAAAAACGATACTTCGATTGATATATATATCATTGATATATATATATAATTTTGTAATAATCGATACTTCGATGATTACAAAATTGTACAATCCAATCCTTAAATAAACAACAATACATAAGTAATCATTAGATAGATTGAATTTTAAAAGTCCAGATAGTTTGCTTATTCCTTTACTGTTTTAACGCCGTCTAAGATCTTCAACAATGAAATCCGTAACCAATGTCTTCACATAGGAAGAAGCTACGAAATCAACGTGTTTAAAGTCTGCCTTCGCCACCTTCCTCGCCGTAGCCCTAGGCAGGTCCTTAACCATCGCAAGAACGTCTCTCTCGTCAAGCAACTCATCTCCAACAGTGTAATGCATTATGACGTCTACATTAATTTTTTTCAAGTCGTACTTAGGTGGATCGAGAGATCCATATATTAGCAGGTTCATAGTTGGTGTATAATACCATCTTCTGAAAGCTTTGTCGTTGATGTTTTGTCCGTAGTGCGCGAATTGTTTGACGGCTGACCCTGCCATTAGGTCGGCTCCATCAACGATTTCTTCCTAGAAGGACACATTCATAAAATGTTACTTGAATCATATATAATAGTCAAAGAAAAAATTGTAAGTTATTATTAAAAAGCTAAAACCAGCTGGGATGTATGTATGTATGTATAAAATTATGTTAATTTTAGACTAAGTTTAATATTGCCCAAAAATAAGCTAACGTTGTTTACAAATTTTACTAATCAATAACAGGGTTCCCAAACTGCCCGACGTGTTAAAATTTATATAACTACGCTGACGACATAGTAACTAAGCGCGAGTTGCTTTAAAAAATTAAGTTTTGAAAAACTTATATTATGACCAACTAGATTTTCCTGTTGATGGTAAACATTTTAATCACATTAAACTTCTATGAATTCGTTTAATGGTTATCTTTTCTCTTTATCTCTATTATATTGATTGTATGTATACTTTTTATTTACCAGAATATCTTCAACGTCAGGAGTTCCTGCACTGTTTCTAGTAGCGGCGCGGTTTGTATTCCAGTTCGGACCGTAAATTTCATAAACGCCTCTGGCGGAAGCTAGGGTCTGAAATTTGAGAAAAATATTTTTACACTTAAAATTAATACGTTTCATCAACAGACTGAAAGGTGTGAAATATCGTTTTAATTATACTATTAAAGGCTCGTTTTTATCCTAACTTTGTTATTTTGTACGTGAGACATGTCATAAGACCCCTAGAACAATCCAGACTTTTTTTTTATACATTTTAGACTCGCCGTGTCACAAATTCTCTCAAATTTTATTTACCTGATACTTTAATTGTTAGCTTCCCCCTTTTTTTAATAGTAACTCACATGAATACTAGTAGTTAACGCCGCCGCAGTTTTCAACAGGGTGTTGGGGAAGTTTTTCTGGTATCCAACACCAGCCAGCAAATGTGCTGATGCGAATTTCGCATTATATTCAGGCTTCATAGAGTTGAGGACCAAGAACACGGTCCCTCCCTGGGAATGACCAATGTAGTGAAGCTTGTCTTGGCCAGATTTTTGTAACGCAAAGTCTATCATAGCAGGCATGTCATTAAGAGCGATGTGTTCCCAAGTGAAGTCGAAGAAATCTTTCTTTTGGAAATAGTCATCTGGGTTGAGTGATTTGTGTCGCCTGGAATTGCCTACGCCTCTGGCGTTTCCAATCCACACGTCGAAACCGGAGTCAGCCAAATTGAATCCTATTTAAATCAATAAGTTAAATGTATGTAGGTAGTATACTTTTAAGTTTATATTTTGCCTTAAATTCGATTCCAGGAAAACTGTAATGTACTTGCCCTTTACAGGGGTAACAGAATACTACAGTCATTATTATACCCCTTACAAAAATTTGCGATTAAACAATATATATCTAAATATAATCTATTAACTTCAGATATTGCAAAGACTTATTTAATTAGTAGGTAATGCTATTATTTACCCATAGCATATTTAGGCCCGAGTTCAACGTAAGAGTTGGAGCAGCCAGTGAGACCATGCATCAAGAAAACGACTGGTCTCCGAAGGGTCCATGGGTTTTTACCACGAGGTATTCTGTTAACTTCTAGAATGTAGCCATCCTTTGTCTCCACGTCATATCGTTCCGCTGGGTAACCAGCTGCTACAATTTTATCATGCTGAAAGGGAATTGATCTATTCAAATTAAGGAATCTTATAAAGGAGATAGATAGATAGATTTTCTTAGGTCTAGCCTGTGTGTGGCAAATTATGAATAGATATATATTTTCTATGATGCCGAAGACGCCAAGTAGAAAATTGTACTCATAGACTTACTGTTTTACACATATCTTTAGCTTTGTACCCATAACTGGGTAGTACTGTGCAAAGTACCCCCACTAACAATATTTTGCACCACATCGTTGCGAATGAGTATTGACAAACGAATTATTTTCTTTTTATATATTAACTTCGCTATCTTAAGCCCAGGTTTAATTAAAAAATTTACAATACACCATACATCGTCTTTTCTTTGTGTAGGTAGAACTTTACAATAAAGACAATTATCTGATTTATGGCTTAACATACTGCTTGACAGAGGATGTTGTATTTTTAATTATAGGTTTTTATGACTGATATTGAAAATAACAAAAACACTTTTTGTAATAATACTTTTACAACCGCCACGGCGAAGGGCAAGATATCTTAATCTTTATTGTAGCGTTAACTGTTATTAGATAAAAGGGTTAGCGATTAACCTTATCGTTTTTCGCACTATTATTTATTCCCCAATAAAGTTTTATTATTTTGGGATATATGTGCCTTTTATTCGATTATGGCACAAAATTTTTATTGATTCATACAATCGAAATAAAGTATTATTAATTGCTACACATTCTTGACAACGATACCCTTGATATTCGATTATGTTGTTGACGTATTTTATCGATGGACGTATATTTAAAAGAGATTTTCCCTTAAACCTTCCATAGTGTTAAAAAAGGGGTAATGCATTAAAGTTTCCCTTCTTTATATTTATCTATCAAACTCGATATTTATTTCAGTACATAACTAACGAAAAGGGACTAAAGTAGTCCCCAATAGATAAGAGATCTTTTCCCATATGCCAAAATGCCTCCGCGAAGGATTGTTGTTATTTTATCAGTAATAAAATGTGGCGTGATGTTGGATCTTCTTTTCTGGTGATAACGATTTTATGACGATAAAACCGATAGCGATAGCTGGAAAAGCTCGACGGAAATGAATTAGCGTAATACATAAAAATGTCAAGCCTATGTAAAATGATATAAAAGTCAGATAATGCAAAATAAAAAATGTGTATAGCTTGTCTGTATATTTCATAAAATTAACCCTCTTCTAGTTTTTATTTACATAAAAGCCATCAATAGATTGCAAATATTCAAATCCGAAATAGGTCGACGGCATCGTTTTAAGATGTTATATGGCCCGGGCATACTGTCTAATAAACTACCTGCTTGCCTATCCTCCTCTATCATAAAAAAGTGACTATCTGCAAGTCCACGCATATATTAGTATTGCACACCTCCACTAGATTGGTTTAACACATATATGCCTTTCACAAATATCAAGATCCAGCCATGTAAAGATTTTTTCGTCGTATAAATTACTTAAAACTAAGTTTTAATCAACTTTTGTTTATATGCCATGAAGTTTATGTATATTTATCTGAAATGATTAAAATGCTGACGAAGGTTACGTTTCGTAAAGTCGTGGACGAAAGCTTGTATGTCGTAATTTTCGTTTGAAATCTAAATCTCTAATCCTCATCTAAATAAAAATTTTTGGATTAATTTTTACAAAGTTTACAAGATTACCTTAAATACTGTCTATAGTTTACGCGAGTAGTACACATTTAAATAAAACACTTTAACGGTTTAAAACGCGATATATTAGTTAAACTAATATATCGCGTTTTAAACCGTTAAAGTGTTTTATTTAAAAGATTACCTTAATTATTAACGTTAAGCAATTATTCATTTACATTATTTTTCAAACCGCCACGTTTTTCACTTGTATTAATAGGTGCACATTCGTTGGTACAGAATTTGTCTCACTTGTTTTCAGAAACTATCTCTAATTGTCTTTATTCGTGCCATTTTCACCTTCTTCACTATCTCATCGTAGACTTTTATACCCATTATTTTCTCACAAAATAACTTAAACAATCCAATTTTAACACTAATACTGGAAATATATACGTGAGAGTATTTTTAACCACAACCCGGTACGCGTACTTATATGTATCGCGTTTCAAACCGTTAAAACTATTCAATATAATGTGTAACACTCGCGTAAATTACTAACTAAAGTTTAAATAATATAGACGTGGCATCGTCTCAAATTATGAAGAAATGACGAAAAATAACATTCCAAGGCTATACTTATAAGTTTTCGCGTTAATTTTATTGTACGGTATGCAATAAAATATATTGATATAGTTATTACATTGTTAAAACATGAGCTAATCATAGTTATTGCTTTACGACATTTTTATTACTCGAATTCTATCAGATTATTTTCATCGTATCAACAAAATATGTCCCACTGCTGGGCCCAGGTCTCCTATAACATCGAAGAGAAATGTATTTACTTATTTATTTTTCTACCCTTCGCTGCCTACATCACTAGTGATGACCGGATGTCATAATTTTCCTATGCAGCACCTTCCATTTTATTTAAATAAAACCCTTTAACGGTTTAAGGTTTAAAACGCGATATATATCACTTAAAGTTATTCAGAAATTATTTGAACTATAGCCCGACGTTCCGACCAAATAAGTTTAACTAATATATACCGCGTTTTAAACTGTTAAAGTTTTATTTAAATGTGTACTACTCGCGTTAACTACAGACAGTATTACGAAAATGACCTTACTTTCCGGTGCCCCTAACAGGTAGTTAAGTATGTAGTTATTTTGAAAATTGGTACTCGGGGGGTACCCGCTGGTTCCATTGAAGTTTCTTCATACAAGTTTTGTTTGTACGCGTTTGACTTGAAACTTTCAGATGTCCATTAAAACTTTGACAGTTAAATGTACTGAAAGTTTATAATTCCGTTATAAATTCAAAATATATCGTAATTAATCACAGCTTTATGTGTTACCGGCCTTATGTGGAATCTGACGTTCTGTACAATAACTATATGTAAAAATCTAGTCTTTATAAGATATGTAGATCTCTAACAAGATAGGTTTTATTGAATTCGTTGTTTGTTTTGATTTATTATTATATGTCCGGTCATAAACGAATGCAGGTATTTTTTAAAGATCAATGTTTTGATTATTGTGCATGTTTTTGAAGATTACATGTTTTAGGTTCTATCTGTATTTTACGCGACTAATATACACATTAAATAGACACTTTTAAAACCCAGCCGCGACGTCGATTACGGCTGCTGAGTATCCTAAACTTTTAAGTTTAAATACGATTTGTATTTGAAAATGAAACATTTCGTGTTTTAAACCATTTTTTTATTTAAATACATGGCTTAATTTTGATTTGTTGAATCGTATTTCTAATTATTCGGTCAGACGGAGCAGACTGAAAAACAGCGCTGTGCGATCTCCTTCGAGCAGCATTCAGCTAAGTCTAAATCATCAGGTGTCACATAATGTTAGTTAACAAATTAAGCTATTAGTGTTTTGTTTGTATTTTTTAGTTTTGTTGCCATAAACAAATGTTTCCCTTTCTTTCTTTAGCAGTGGCAGTGGGACCCCCCGCTGTTATAGGTTCTCGAGCCCGGCGATATATTGGATAGCAATAATTAACTATAACAACATGCTAATATATAAAGCTCTGTTTGTTTGTTTGAACGCGCTAATCTCAGGATCTACTGTTTCAAATTGAAAAAATCATGTTGTGTCTCTGTGTTGGTTAGACCTTATATAGGAGAAGGCTTTATGCTATACATCATGCTGCAATAGCAACGAAGAAACAGAGGTGAATCTGAAAAAAAAACAGGGATTTTTTTTGAGAATTCCGATGCTAACACTGTTACGGTTCAAGATAGATATAAAAATATTATGAGAGAATGATTCCTCTCTAAATTATCGAAAAAATATCCGCGACGGTATAATATTTCCATCTATTCCACGCGGATAAAGTCGCTGGCACAGCTTAGTTAAAAATATACGCATTTTAATTATAAAGCCACTAAAACGTGCTTGAAACGAAATGTGACGAAGTAAATTGTCCATTCATTATCCAGTAAGTAAACAAATTACTGTTTACATTCTCTCCGCGTAACGAACCTATTATAATTACGTCTGTGACGTCAGAGATCACATGAAATGATTTTACTTTTTTTGTAGTTTTAATGCTAACAATTGATATTGAAAAAATACTTGTACACCTAAGTAAATGCGCATTTACTTGTACACCTAAGTAAATGCGGAGAATCATTAGACAAATAGTAGTATAAAAAAACAATGTTTTTGTCTGTTTTTCGCGTTCCACGTACTAAAGCATATTTTAATAGGACGTCTCTGTAGCTAAATGAATAAACATGTTGCCTAGCATTGCGTTAAGAGCGAGAGGTTCATGGTTCGAATTTCGAGGAATAGATTGTTTCCGTCAGGCAGGCAGGGCACAAGTCAGAGCTACTACTTGCCTTTATATAAACATGAGTGAAACGGACACAGAAATGTGCTTGTCCACTGAGTGGAAACGGAATTTCCCTTATATTTTAAGAGAATGGACTTTTGAACATTTCTGCTCGTAAGGTCGGTAGTTCGATCACCTGTCGTAAAACTTCGTAGAGCAATCGAACTATGGGTATAGGTATGTATCTTATACTCAATAAAAGACGGTTCTACCTAAATAAACCCCAATTTCTTTAACAAGCAAACGTTTACGAATATTCGTTACAGAAATAATTTTATGGTGTGCAAAGTAATCACATTAAAGATTAAATAAAACCCTCTTAACGGATTAAATGACGAAAGATATTAGGTAGATAATTTACGTAATGTTGAAATTAAAGATTGATTTAAGTCATTCTGTCAATAATTATTTAGAGTTTTTGATTAAATGGAAAATACATAAAGATTATTACTTCCTGCAAGGGGGTTTAATTAACGTATTTATTGATAATATGCGATAGAATTATAATACAATGTTTATTGCGCTAACTATATAGTTATTGGATTCGTTTTTAAAAAGTTAATTAGGTGATTTATAGTGCGTTTTGATAATGACGGTGTGACGTTTATAACATTCCTACTTTGTATAAAATGTAAATAAATATCACCCACCAAAAGAGAATCATCCCATTATTGATTATACATTATTCGCTTGTTGACTATTAAACAAGATGGGTTTTAACGTGCATGCGGTTCGCTTGATTGAGGGTGATACCAGACATATGCCTGATATTGTTACTATTGACTATCAGTCATAAAAATTCTTAGGTCTAATCTAAATATATAGAAATTCTTTTACCTCAAACAAAAGTCATAAATCAAGCTATAATAAATAGCACGTCGCCCTAGCTAAGTTTATTGTAAGTTACATTCACATCACGTCTAATTCGACTCTGAAATTGCTCCCGAGGGAATCAACTTGAGCGAACCATCGAACGTTTTGCTCACTATGTCCAAGATCCTACTGAAAGAACTGTATAAGCCTATATTACAACCCAATTCTCACTATACAAGTAAAAGTGAAGAGCAACCCCAAATGTAACTGTAAAGTAATTTAAATTTAACTCGGCTTTGATTTAGACATTTCAGGAAAGCACGACAGCGCATGAAAATCACACGTGCGAACTGCGATACGCAGGATATCTCGCAAAATTTTACCATCCACTGCTTTCAATTAATTAAAATAGTTTGCATCGCTTCGAAATGCGCACTTCGGAAATTAATTATATCACTTGCAAATTACAAATACGATTACATTTGTACTTACGTGAAATTTCTTTTCATTTCGTTTCGTGTTAAGTTAAATGAGAATTCAATTAAGTTATTAGCGAAATATATTAGGTTAGTAGGACGTTTCGGATACTTTGCATCAACCGTGGTCACGGAGAGACGTAGTTAAAATACATTGTGAATAAGTTATCTAATATATTTCGCGTTTTAAACCGTTAAAGTGTTTTATTTAAATTTGTACTTTTTTTTTATTTTTGTAACGTAGGATTTAATATATTTAGAAATGTCTGTTCGTTGATTATAAGTAATAGGTTCATATATGGTTAGTTATAAGTAAAAATTATGTTTATGTAACACTAGCTGAGTCTGCGACTTCGTACGCGTAGATATTTATTTTGAGTATCAATTTTTGTTTTTGCAAACCTCCTGTCCAACTCTATAAAGCTGTTACCCACGACGTCGTCCGCGACCCGTTGTTTTTTGAAGTTAATCTTAAAAGATAGTCGTGGACTTTTTTTAGATCATTTAAAGAGAAATAATTCTTTCATACATATTTTATGGTATCTTGAACCGTTTTCGCAGCGTATGCAATGGAAACCCACAAGAAATTTCCTCGATTTTTAAACTCTTCAGCTTTATATATTAGATTTAAAAACTTCTCGAGCTCTAAATGAAAAAATGTGTCGGTATTTATTTACATAGTTTTACTGTTTAGTTCAATTAAATCCGTTCAGCGTTGTTTGATCTAACCTTTTCATAAGAACGTTATTTTCGTTTTCAATTTTACACTTACAGATGATATTAGCGTTTAGTGCAATTGGGAAACGTTTTTTTAATAATCCCTTTAAATGGACACCGCTAACAGCCAGTGCTTTTCCAAACGACTTCCGCCATTACGGTTTGCACGCTTTACAAAATATACTTATTTAGCAATTTTAATGTTCATTTCTACCTCTGCGCTAACTGTAAATTGCAAGCGTTTAACGTTATAAAACACTTTTAACGGTTTAAAACGCGAAATATATGAGTTGAATTATTTTCTATTTATTTCAATAACAGTCTGACGTTTCGGATATTTCGCAGAAGACATGCTTAGGGGAAAGCGCTTTGAACTAAAGGCAAAACTTGAATAATGATGAAAAGAAATAGAGCAACACGGAACGCTGTGGACGCCGCTTCAATGTCTGCCTGCCCGTGTCGTAAATTGTTCAATTTATATATTTTTTTATTAATATATAGCACAGCTAATAAATCAAGTTTGGCATTCAAATTATCGCATTGTAATCTTGACGTAATACTTTTTCAGTTTCACCCCTTCAGTAATCCCGTTACACCCTTTGTTTTCTGTGTTCCGTTTCTCCAGAACTCGAACCCAGGACCACTTATTCTTACGAAATATTAGGCAATACGTTTCACCATTTAGCTCCGGAGGCAGTCTTGTTCCAAGCCGTAAACATACGATTTTCATACCTAATTGTAATCAGGAAGTAATGTCCTGAGTTCACTGTTCTAGTATTTCAAAATAAGTTAAAAATGTTAATATGTATTATTTGCATATATTTATCTGAATTAAGATATTTAATTCTTGTAAATACTTACCTCAAATATTTAATGAAAGATTATAATATGGTAATCTGTTTCAGATTTGTTAGAGTAATTAAAAACACCTTATCAATGCGGTGGATTTTTGTATTTAATATACACGGATTTAAAAAATATACTGTCACTGACTTTTTAATTTATATGCACTACTTAGATAAGATTTGTCAACATAGAAATAAGAGAAAATAGTGTTGTAGAACGTGCATGTTATAGTACAATTAATATTCTACCGTAAAGGGACAGGGTAGGTACATAGATTTGCGAGAGTAGTACACATTTAAATAACATATCTTAACAAAAACGCGAAATATATCAGTTAACATGTTTAAAGTGTGTTTTAATCACGGCCCGACGGTTCGGATGCTTTGCAGCAGCCGCGGTCACGAGGATATTAATAAATGTCTTTTTTGTCCCCTGTTTTCCAAAAAAATAAAACTCTTTACCCCCCTCCAATTAAAAAATTAAATAACAACCCCCCTCCCCCCCCCTTTCTCCTAAAAAAAAATCCCCCCCCCCCCCCAAAAAAAAACCCCCCCCCCCCCCGCCACCACGAAACACGACCCCCCCGGGGGGGCCCCCCCCCCCCGGGGGGGGGGGGCGGCCCCCCCCCCCCCCCCCCCCCCCCCCCCCCCCCCCCGGGTATGATTTGTCAAAAAATATTATTTGATAAACTGTGGTTTTCATTGAGTCTCCGGCTTATATTAAACCAAAGTCTTTCAAAATAAACATAATAATAGTTTTAAAAAGCGAAAATAAATTGAAAAACTTTTCGACTCGGGCAGGCCTTGAACCGGCATCGTCACTCGTCGTCATCGGCAATTTATTTTCGATTTGCAAATTGTATAGTGCCTTCATGTGCAATAAAATATATAAAATAACAAAGTAAAAAAAAATATTTAAGTTTAAAGATTCAAATCTCGCGACAATCTTTTAATATTTAAAATTGCAATTAATAAATATGAGAACTTTTATGTTAAGTAAGTATATTTCTTTAAAACGCGTTAAACATCACAGGTTATGTGTAATCGTTGAGTTTCTATGTTTTTTTTTCCTATTTTTAAAAAAGGTTTTGTGGGACTCACAAAGAACAAACTACATTATCTTCCAATTGACTGTTAAGTTAGTGAAACAGTCTCGATAGGTTTTAATCCCACCTGAGATTTAATTAAAACGAGCATGTTTATTGAATGAATTGGACAGTTTATTTACTTTCAGCGATCGCCTTTACAATAAAGTCGACAACTAACTGCTTGGCGTCTTCAGCGTTCACAAAGTCCGTATGAGTAAAGGTCTCCCTGGCAATTTTCCTGACAGTCGCGCTTGGCATAATTTTCGCCATCGACAAAACATCCTTTTCATCAAGTAATGTGTCGCTAACTGTGTAGTGCATGGTGACGTCAGCTGTGATTTTGGTTAAATCGTATTCAGGTGGAGTAAGTCTGCCGTATTTAGCCAAGTTCTTGAGTCCATAATTCCATTGCCTGAACTTCTTATCACGAATGTTTTGTCCGTAATGAGCGTATTGCTTAAGAGCGGCGCCGGGTAAGAGCTTTTTGGGATTTATAATATTATCCTGAAATTAAAAGTATGCTTTACAACGATTCGAAGAAATGCCTTCATAGCCAGAGGTCCTGGAATCTTTGGAATTCAATTATTTCACTCAAGCATAGGACAGAAGTCACATCATCTATAATATACTATAATTCCTCGGTTAATAAAATGCGAATAAATGTCTTATACCTATTGCGCAGATTCTGTACTTACTAGAATGCCGTTAGCCGTTCTAGAGCCAACACTGGAAGCCTGGGTTTCAATTTCCGAAATTTGATCACCCCAGTTCGGTCCTATAAGTTCAACGAGACCACGGTTTGTTGCGAAACTCTGAAAGGGAACAAATATGTTAGCTTAGTTGAAGGTTGCTGTTTGCTCCTTAAACTGCTTGAAAAATGTAAAACTTACGTAAATTAGATCGACAGTCATGGCTGTGGCACGTAAAACTTTGTTAGGGAAATTGTTTTGGTATCCCACTCCGGCGAGTAAGTGGGCTGATTTGAACTTGTCGTTATATTCAGGTAGCATAGAGTTCAACACCAGGAACACAGTGCCTCCTTGGGAATGTCCGACGTAGTGTAGTTTCTCTTGACCAGTCGTTTTTAGTATGTAGTCAATCATAGCGGGAAGATCTATCGTTCCGATTTCATGGAATGTGAAATCGAAGAAGTCATGCTTTTGATCTTCATTGTCCGGGTCTAGGGAGACGTGACGACGAGAATTGGCGACGCCTCTTGCGTTGCCCAACCACACATCAGCTCCGATATCAACCAAATTATAAGCTGTGGACATAAAGACTTTTTTATCACCTATGTACCTTTAGACTTAAAAAGCTGCGTTACTTATTTAGACTGAAAATATAGATGGATGAAATGGCTTTCAGTTAAATAATATTTGATCTTGCTAGGTGTTTTGAAATCACAAAAATATTTTAACGTTCAAATCTTTGCTTACCAAGACTGTCTTTAGTTCCCAAAGCGATATAAGTGCCACCATAGTCGGACAAACCGTGCATCATGAGCACAGGAGGTCTGACTTTGCCATCGGGATTTTTACCATGTGGTATCCTCACCAATTCCAAAATGTAACCGTCCTTTGTCAACACATCATGTGTTTCAGCTGGATATCCTGCGCTTATAATTGCCTCGTGCTAAAATAAAACCCATATTTCCGTTATTTATATATATTTACATATATTAATATTTTACGAGAAATATTGAGGTACTTACAGTTTTATACAGCTTTTTACCAGCTGAACCCACATCAGAAGCGGCAAGGCTGCCAGCCACGAAGATTACCAACGAGAGTACACCCAACATTGTTGTTTCGTGAATGGTACAAGTTCGTTGTCTCAAATCCTCTTTATAAGAGTCACTCGGTCTTTGGTTGCTGATAATTTTGTAATCCTTTAATACGATTCGGGGAAATTTTAAGTGTGGTTCCGCATGCTTTTACTTCGTATTGTTATTATTTTAAAATTCAAATTCTAAAACAAATTTCGAAAGAATATAAGAACTACAAAGAAATATATATAGTACATATTTTTTTTTGTATTAGATTGGTATGGCTTTTTTATGTGTTACGAGACCCTAAGAAGAGACAGCGCCTTATCAAATATTGGTATCAGATTTTTTCAAGTACCCTAAATTAGAATTAGTTATAGTAATAAAATACCTACGCTAATATATTAAACTTTTTAACTAATAATACCCGTGACTTCTCATTACCGCCTCTGTAGTTCAAAATCAAGAACGAAAGGTGCTGGATTTGTATCCAGGAGAACGACAGTTAATGTCGATATGACCTCGTATTGAAGTGATCAACTACTTGTCTTCTTGTTAATAAAATCAACAAGTAAAACAGACACAGATATGTGTTCTCGTGTATTGAAATAAAGTTTTAGCACTGAAGAATAAATATTTCTTAAAAAAATGATTTTAGGATTTTTCCTAAGGATAATATCATAAATCGTTGAAAAGAGATTATAATTTTTCCACTAAGGGAAACTTCCAAAGCCATTGCATGCAAGTATGTGAGTAGAAAAGTTTTATCTTTTTTTTCTTAAAAAAAATCATGTTTCTGTAAAATTGTGCATCTTTTTGTATGATATCGGAAAAGCGTTAACGCGTGAAATGTTGGACTCTGACTTCTCTGTTGGTAAGTCTCGCTCGGAGATAGTGGTAATTAATACCCACTACAAATGTGGAAACACGCTTTACTGTTTTTTCACATCAACAATCATTCACAATCGATTTATAAGAATCCTAGAATCGGACAGTGCGACTCATTCAAGGGAAACGGGAGTAGATCTTAATGTATACACTTGGCTTTGATCAAAAATAATTAAACTATAGTATAACATATCAGATTCATAGTTTATAGAAAACCGATTTGCGCTATCTTAAAAAAATAGATTATAGGAATAATAAAATATAGCGCCCAATAAACAGTAGCCGCATATGTTAAATTTATAGTACCGATTAAGATTAGCTTTTTACATTATACAAACAAGATCACAATAATAATAATCTGTCATGTCTGAATGTCAGTGGCACTTACAATATAAGACATTTTTGCTTGAACAAACACTCACCAACTACGTCTTAGTTCTGATAAATTATAGTTATTCACATTTATATTGGATTAAAAGATATTTTTGACATGGGTTTGTTTATCACTTGTGGGACTCTGTAGCTCAGAGAAAACATGAAACACTGTGGTCTTGATTTTTTTATTTGGTTTTGGTATTTGCAATAAATGATACACAAAAAGTTGGTAGAAACTTCGTGGATGATGCCAATTGTCGCAATCTTTGCATGGAGTCCCTTTAAGTGCTAAAAATGTTTAATTACAATCGATTTAAATAAAGAACTAGGTTTAAACATATATATTTATTTATATATCGCGTTTTAAAACTTTATGTTTTATTATTTTTATGCATTGCAGCAGCCGTGGTCACAGCTGCTGCAAAGCATCCGAACCCTCGGGCCGTAAATAATTTTGTATAACAAAAATAAAATAAATAATATTAAAAAAAAGTTTCAAACAAGTTTAAATAATAATATTGCTAATATATAAATGTGTAGGTACTACTCGCGTTAACTACAGACAGTGTTACAAATTCTTGCTTGTGTCATTAATTCGGTTTTAATTAAATAAATGTTAATTTGAAGTCTTTGTGAACCATACGAGGGAAGTTTTTTTATGATAAAGGAAGCCATCATATGGGTTACTTGATGATAGGTGTCTAATCTACAGCACTACTATTATACCAACGAGCCGGTGTACTAGAAGAGTGTCGCTATTATAAGAAAAATGATAGTCTGAAGAAGCTGAATCGTCGATTGCTCATATCTCCATCTTCACGTAGCTATCTCCACCAAAACAGAGCGGAGAGATGTATCCACACAATCGTATTTGTTGTTAAAAAAACATCTCTCCACTCATCTCGTCTCTGCTTTAGAGACCCGGCTGAAGGTTACGGTTTCCTATTAATGCCGCTTACTAGTGTTATATTTAGATCATGAGACACCGAATCAAACATAGCGCAAGAATTCGTTAAGGCCTTATCAAAAACATAAATGTTAAATGTTAGCCAAGTTCAATATTTTGACAAACATATGTGTTTTCGTTGCACATTATGGATAAAAGTGAGGTTTAAATGAGTACCAAGTCCAAAGTCTGCTATAAAATTTGTTTACAATAAAATAAAATATATTTATATTTTCTCCTAACTTAGTCTAATAATATAATTTAAACGACTTCAGTGAAATAGTTCGTGCCTATAGCCCAAATGGTTTGTGTGAACACACATCTGCTTCACCTCGGCAGTTCACTTGAACTCGGCTGACACGCCACGTGTCTTCATAGATTCAAGAGTAAGTAGGCATCGAGTTGAGACTTTTTAACTTTTTTTATAATAGAGGAGTATGGATTTCACTTAATGGAAGATGAAATACTCCAGCCATTTAACAAGGATGCGCAGTCGCAGGCTTTGGATATTCTCTAATAACAAACAAGTATCATTAATATCCGTACATTTGCTAACTCTTAATGTTAACTGATATTAGCACAACAGACAATGAACAAATGCCTTAACACTGTCTTGACGCGACGTAACGTTAAAAAAGGCAGCCAAATACAACACTGGCCGCAGCCAGAAAAGATCGATTAGCTGATTACTTGTTAATTTTTATCGTATATAGCTTTGTTAAAAAAATATAATTATAAAAGTAAGAAAGCATATTCTAGTCGCAAAGAATAATTCAGCTTTGTTAGTAGGAGTGTTTTTTTATTGAAATTTTTTTACATTTACGTGTTAACTGGGACGATCTGTAGAAGTAAATTAAAAATAAAAACACAATACATTTTATCATTATGTCGTGTTCGTTTACCTTAATTGCTCTTTTAAAGTGCATAACTAGTACTTTTACGTAACATCTTTACTACACTATAAAAGTTTAAGAGGGTCGCTGTAAGTTTTAGGCGCAAGATACCAAAAAATATGTATGAAAGAAAAAAGTTCCCTTAAAATTATCTAAAAATGTCCGCGGCACTATATGTCTGTCTTTTCACTGTGTGTTTGACATCGTGTGTGTCGATGAAGAAGAGGTTTGCAAAAACAAATTTGTATACCCAAAATTACTATTCTACGGACGAATTCGCTGACGCAGCTAGTCGCCAAATATGGGTAATCATATCTCAGAGTGAAATACGATTAGTTCTCTGTCTAATGTGTATCAGAGATTTGATTACCAACAGGTAGTCATGATCCGGTATAATAATTACTGAAATGCACTGTGATCACTTACTGTATCAGCAATTCCAAGCAATTGTCTTATTGCTTTTGGGGAAGCACTTCCTCTGATAATATTGTATGAAACGTTATTGCTTACTTTGATTATTTCAGTAAACTAAGATTTTGTTAGTAAAGCCATTTTAGACTAGTATAAGCCTAACGCAATTTTTTAGCCTAAAATGTAAAAAAAATATTATATTCTTCACTCCAAAATTCCATAAAATTAAAAAATAATTGCCTATAACAGAATATTCAAGAAGAATCATCAACATCACGAAGCAGATTGCTAATATTCAAACTGTAAAAAAGTAGCCAATGTCTTCTTTTGATTTAAAACCTAACTATGTCGCCAAACAAATTTCATCAAATTTAGTACGTCAATTTAAGCGTGAGTATTTATTGTGGGGCCTGATGATTTGAGATATTTTGATCCTTTATTTATTTAATAAAAATTATTGACTGAGCTGACTGAGTCTTACTAAGTTCTCTTCGTGCCCAGTAAGCTCTAATCTAGTCAAGACTAGTCGAAAGATCTTAGGTCTTTATGTTATTATTACGTTATAGTAATTACATCATAACCCTTACTAGGCTGTAATGACTGGTGACCTACTACTTGGTAGACAAGTTCTACCAAGTAGTAGGTCACCAGTCCACCAGGCCTCGATTTTAAGTACGAAAACTATTTATTTAGGAGAGTTTCAAAAATGTTATTTCTTTATCAATGTATTTTGGTCATTATACATAATGTGACTTAACCAACATTTTTCGTAATCTAAAATGAACGGTAAAAAGATATAACTAACTACAGTGATAAATAATAATCAGAAAATAAAGAGTGATAGGGTCAGAAATAAAAAGTACATAATTATTAAATGGTAAATATGTCTTTTAATAACAACACAACATAAAGCAGATCTCGCTAATAAATGAAAAATTTGACTGGGGAGCGATTTTTATTGTTGGATTACAATCATTCACTTGCGCCTGATCAAATCGTCGATTAGATAGTCGTATACTAATTCCTTGGAATCCCGGGCTAGCACAAAGTCGGTGTGGGAGAAATCGGACCTGGCTACTCGACGAGCTTTGCAGTTCGGTATATCATTTGCCATTTCTAAAACATCAGCTTCAGACAGTAGGACGTCCCCGAGGGTATAATGCATCGTCAAGTCTACAGTTATCTTCTTAATGTCATATTCGGGGGGTGTTGTTGAGCCGTATCGAGCCAAGTTACCCAAGATGCCGTGGTCGAAGCTTCTGAACTTCTTGTCTCGAATGTTTTGCCCGTAATGAGCGTATTGCTTGATCGCAGCGCCGCCGATTCCGGCTTTAGCGCGGGAGAATTCATCCTGAAAAAGAAAAAAAATATTTTCATAAAATATCGATGAATGACTACGAAAGCTTTGAGGGATGAAATATTTCCCCAATCGTTCTACAAAACAACTGCATACTAGTAGATCAATATTTGAATGATACATTATTAGTATGTAAATTTATTTAAAGTTAAATAATTTATTTTTTTAAAGCCAGTGTAGAGTTCCTTAGTAAAATAATTTTCAAATAAGTTTAACTAATATATCGCGTTTTAAACCGTTATTTAACATTTCAATATTATTTATTATAAAATAGATAATTTTAAAATGTTTTAAAGTTTTGTAATTTTTATCTGAATAGAAATTATATAAATATCTTAATATAGTTCATACAATATCAACTTACCATAGCTCGTTTAATTAATGATATCAGGTCTGCGAGGGCATTGTTGGTTTCAATTTCAGCTACTGCTGATGTAGCTAACGTGACTTCGAGGTTAGATTTCCTGTCTTTCGACGGTCCTAGAATTTCTACGATACCCAACAGATACGTTAGAGCCTGAAAAGAAACAGAACCATTATAATTAGTAAATATAACAGTATTATTATCTACAAGTATTTCAAAATTGTGGTTTGTTATGGAATAAACTACATATATAACATCTAAACAAGATGCGTCGTCTTATTTTGACTTCATACTTTCAGAAATATACAGTCTGAAATCGAAACAGTGGTTTGTGACCCGAACAGAGTTTTAGATTTTTACGACACTTTGATAACCAAATTTTACAGACAAAGGCCAACATGTTATATAAATAATTAAAAATTGATTAGAAATATGTTGGAAATCGAACCCTCGACCTGCTAAGTGTTAGTTATACATTTCTGCCAATAAACGAACTAAACAAACTTTTTTTGTGGTTCAAAAAACTTACTCTGATTTCGTCAACTCTAGCAGAAGCCTGAGTCAAAATCCAGTTGGGGAAATGGTTCTGATAACCGACTCCAGCCAATAAATGCGCAGAGATGAACTTGTCGTTGTACTCCGGCTTCCTTGAGTTGAGGATTAAGAAGACAGTTCCACCTTGCGAGTGACCGACGTAGTGGAGTTTGTCCTGACGAGTATGCGCAAGCGCAAAGTCAATCATGCGCGGTAGATCAATGAGAGCTATTTCTTCAAAAGTGAAGTCCCAGAAGTGACGTTTCGTTACGTCACTGTCTGGGTCCCATAGGACGTGGCGGCGGGAATTCTCGACTCCTCTAGCGTTTCCTATCCACACGTCGAAACCGCGGTCGGCGAGATTGTACGCTGTGGATTGTTGAAACTTATATTAATCTATAACTTCCGTTATTTTATATAGCATTGAACTACAACTAAAAAGAAACAGATTTCAGTGTATGTCTGTTATACAAATGGTGGCATAAGCGGAAAAGGGACATTTAACTATTTTAGGAAAATTTTACATAGAAAAATATAAAATGTAATTCATATTAAAAAAATTTAAGTAGGTTTAAATAAAAAAACTTTTAAACTGTTTAAAATGCGAATTATAGTAGTTAACTTATTTTTAATTAATTTTAACTACGGCCCCACGTTTCAGCCGCTTTGCTGCAGATATTGTTACGCTGAGGGAAGTTAAAAATAAATTAACAAATATATTTCGCGTTTTAAACCGTTAAAATCGTTTTATTTTTATTTGTACTTCTTGTGTAACCAATAAACTTTACTTGAAATTAATTACTCATTTTTTAATGTAAATATTTGTAAACTTATATTTTCCGTTACTGTAGTGAAGATAAAGATTTGCTATTTCATAGTATCTTTGCGTATTATTTGTTTACTATTTAGAATAGTAAAAGTTTTTACACATTATAGGATTTTGGCAGATCGCCGCGGCGGTTGAACCCATAAAAAGAAATTATGTCTTTGTGATAGTCTAAATAACCATACCCAGACTGGTGTCAACACCAATTCCAAGGAACGCGTTAGCTGAACTCTGTAATCCATGCTGCAGGAAAACTACTGGCCGCTTGCGAAAATCAAAGAAATCGTTCTTGCCTCGCGGGATTCTGTTTACTTGTAAAATGTATCCATCATCTGTTATTAAATCGAAATATTGGGCGGGGTATCCATCTGCTCGTATTCTGTCATGCTGAAAATGATTAAATATAATAAAAATTAATAATACTTTGATGTTGATAAATAAGTTCTATGCTTTCGCTGACTTTGCCGCTCAAACTTGACTGATTACAATCTATTGATATCATTAATTATAATATCAATCACTGTTGCAATTGTTGATAAAAATTAAACAAAAGCCGTACGTACGATGATAAGCTCCCAAAGATCGTTAAATAATTAATTATCAAAAATTGTCGAATAACTATCGTTTCCTTTTTACCTTCATTCATTATTAATTTTATCAAAATCCTTATCAATAAAGAATAGTTTATCTTTTAGATCAATTTCGTCTACAGGAAGTGATATAATCTCTAATACTAATGGCAAACAAGATGGCGGCAGGTAACGATGCAATATTTAATATTGCTACGCAGTTTTGATTGCTACGAACTGCTACGAAATTTTTGTAAGCCTAAGCTCGTTTAAATAAAACACTTTAAAGGTTTAAAACGCGATATATATTAGGTAAAGTTATTTGAAAATTATTTTCACTACGGCCCAACGTTATAATAATAAGTTTTGACTAATTTATATCGTGTTTTAAACCGTTAACGTGTTTTATTTAAATGTGTACTACATGCGTAAACTAAAGACAGTATTTAGCTTACGCTCGGTCAAAAGATTATTAAATCTAAAGGCTTTTTTATGTATGAAGTTAAATTTTCCCTTCTGTATAATATTTTAGGACAGACACATTTGTATGACAGTTTAGCTGATTTTATTTACAAGCTTTGTACTTAAACTTTTTGTTCTTACGGAATTCGAACTCAAACAATGTCATTCTTAACTAAAGCTATATAGTTTACCATTGAGCTACGATTGCGGTCTATAAAGTCATAAATACGGTTACGATAAGGAGTACGAATATTATTACACAGCTTAGATATATCTTATTCTTACGATAGGGGAGGATAGACAAGTACGGGGTGCACTTAATGGAAGTTGTAATACCCCACCCTATATAATATCAACAAGATGCGCAGTCGATCTGTTATTGCTTGGAATATTCGCAAATCTACAGACTGGAACCAAAACGCGATCAAACTTTTGTTTTAATCTCCAGATTTCTAAACGAAGTTCAACATGTTTTTGAAGAAACGCATGCTGATCCCGTTGGGTATCGTATTATTAGATATTATTTATATTAACAATTTTATTAAGGTGATATTTACGTCGTTTTGTTAGTTTTTAATAGAAGTCCCACATATTAGCGCTTTGATGCAACTATGCCGCTAAATTATTAAATTCCCTTTAAGTATATTCTTCGTTTAAATAAAACACTTTAAAGGTTTAAAACGCGATATATTTTAGTGAAACTTATTTGAAAATTATTTTTAACTTCGGCCCGACGTTTCGCATGCTTTGCAGCAGCCGTCACGGGGAGACAAAATATAATAATTTTCAAATGTGTACTACTCGCGTAAACTACAGACATTATTTATATTCTTCGTAATATTGGATTTATATTGAGGGAAAGATCTATACGATTAAGTTCATGTTGGTTCTGCAGTGTGCTGTGGGTTTCGGTCGGACAGGGCACAGAAGGCATAACTACTAGCCTATAAAAGACCACGTAGGGGAAACATTTCTTCAATGTTTCATTAATCTGTGCTACCTCAATATGACAAACTAACTTATGAACCATAATTTTATAAACATCTACTTACAGTTGACAACTTCGATCTGCTTTCCTCAATTGAGGAGGCGGCACAGGCACACACCAGTAAAGCCACCAATGAAAGGTTCCCTAACATGTTTAAAGAACTATTAACGCTTCCTTATATTATTACTTGCTTATATAAATTATTCTTATCTAAATCGTTGTTTTAATCATTAAATGTTTTATCGTCGCTATGTTTTTCTATAATCCTCTTTTAGATAAATTATTATAAAGAACAACTATTGTAACTAGGAGAACGCAGTACCGATTAGAAGATATATAAATGAGATAAATATTCTATAACGATGCCAAAGCCATATAAATATCAGTCATTATAATTATGGAGGTTAATTATCTTTATCCTATAGGATCAGAAGAGCTGACGAATAAGCAATACCTTATATTAAGCGAGAATTTTAAATATAATAAGATAAGAGAGAGCTACGCCGTAGAAGAAGTGAAAGCCCGTTTCCCCCCTCGTGGGATATGGGGCGAACACATTTCTGTGGTTTCATTGATCCGTTCTTTTAACAGCAAGTAGTTGACAGACTTCTATACCCTGCCCGACCGAAACAATATTTTTTTTGTTTCCCTGGGCTTCGAGCCCAGGGCCTCTCGCGCTTAGCGCAATGCTATGCTAATATATATATAACTAAAACTTTAAATCGAGTAAGATTTATGTGGATACCGTACATAGTTTGTTTAAACTAAATTTTCTCCCGATTTTCATATTTTAATTTTATAAATAAAACGTAATACTTTTTTCCTGAATGAGCCGACCATACATAACAAAGTCTCTGATAAATATAATTTAATGTAATCAATTATAATTATTGATGTTAATTATACTACACCGGCTTAGAAGTAAGTATTTATAGCTGATAGTAAAGTGAAGCAAGCAAACAATAAGTGTTAATAAATAGATTACACAAAATGCAGTGCAGTGATTTCTGATCTAAAGATAATATTTAATAATGACGTTAATTGATTGGTAATATTCACATAATAATAATAAAACACTGCCCTAATGCAAGTATTTATGTGTTTAAAAAATTCGATGATGTCCGGTGGGCCACGGCAGCATAGAGCTCTGCGGATGCTGAATTAAGTCCCGCCCGTGTTCGGTCGAATTCCTTTTTAAGAGGAAGATTTTCTACTTATATTATGAGTTATGAAATATTGTCTACAATTTTTGGAAATAGAACGTGTGATAAAACACTTTTAATTGAGGTGATCCGGTATTTAAAGCGTCAACATAAATTTTGGGAACTTTGACGCTTTTATTAAATTAATAAGAAGACAAGTTAACTTATATATTTTGCATTTAAAACCATAAAAGGGGTTTTATGTACTACTAGCTGTGCCATCTACTTCGTCCGCGTGGAATAGATATTTTGGGCGTCCAAATTTGTTTTTGCAAACCTCTACATCTTTGTAAGCTCCCCACGACATCGGTCGCGTCCCGTCGCTCGCGACCCTTCGTTCGGGTCCCGTCGTTCTTGCAAGTTAATCTTAAAAGATAGGCATATAGTGTCGCGGACATTTTTTTAGATCATTGGAACAGAAATCATTCTTTCATACATATATTTTGGGTATCTTGTACCCTTTTTGCAGCGTACGCCTCGGAAACCCATATTCATGAAATTTTTTTCCAATTTTTGTCACATTTCTCGCTGTATCTTCGCTCCTATTAGTCACACGATTATGTTTTATGATGTCTATCTTTTAAGATTATCCCACAAAAGCGACGACACAAAAAAAACTATTGTTTTTATTATTTCAAATCGAACTGTTCCTGAGGTTAGCGCGTTCAAACAAACAAACAAACTCTTCAGCTTTATATATTAGTATAGATATATTCATATGTTCCACCATTTTGAACATCCTTACTTTGATTGAAGTTGATTGATGAAGGATCCACGGGAACATTTTCATACATTCGCATTAATTTATAACTCAACTCTGATATCAAATGAAACGAGGTTGAATGTTACGAGTTAAAGTAATAAATACCTAATATTCGTTATACTCATGTGATATGTTAAACTAATATATCGCGTTTTTTTTGACTCCCTTTAACATTTCCGCTTCATTTATAACTATTTATCTAATTCCACCAATAAAACTTATGTTTCAAATACAAGAATGTAAGTATCATTTATTTTGGGTTCTTAATCAGTCATTTTATAACACGGATAAAATAATCTGTTAGGTAAGAGCTTAACTATTTAAAAATTGAAAATAAATAAAAAAAAACTTCGACTCGGGCAGGACTTGAACCGGCATCGTCGGCGTTCCGTGCTGTTGCTCTACCAATTGAGCTACCGAGTCCTACACCTCATCGCCGATTTTTTCAACTTATTGATACATGCACCTCTCGCGCAATGTAATTTCAACCTTAACACTTGCGTATTAAGGTTTAACGTCTTATGCTTTGCAGCTTAAGAAATCATTGAAAATGAAATTACAGTTATAACGTTTGAAAACTTTATTATTTTTTTACATGTTGCACATGAAGGCACTTTACAATTGAAACATCGAAAATAAATTGAAAAAAATTTCGAGAGCTTAGCTATTAATTCAATACTATAAAAACAAAAATATAATATACCAACAGTAAAGAGAGCCAGCAAGTTTTTCGTATGAAACTCCAAAGTACATATTTGTGGGTCGTTTTCACCTATATTAGTACTTCATATTGAATTTCAGGCTCTAAAAATTCACATTATCTGTGGCCTTCCTCTCCAAGTCTTCTATAAACTATAATAATACACCTCATGTTTTCATTGTCAAACTTAAATGTTTTTACATTGTTTGCAAATATCTGCTTGATCCGGTGTTTATAAGATCATAACCTGACGAATAATGAAATAAGTATTCAAATTTCCTTATTTCGGCGGTAGTCCTATTGATGTATACTTAATGCAAAGAGATTCTTTTTTCTTATTGAAAACGACGTTTTTTTTTAATTTAATTAAACGCTATTGGACTATTTGAGAGTAACGCAAAGAATAATTATATTTCACTAGTTAATTGATCCACTCGATCATTAGACCTATTATTATCTATGGAATTAAAAGCGATTGGTGTCGAAGAAATCATGATCGATCGCTTTGTCTATGAACTGGTAGGTTAGCACCTGTGTCCGAGTGTCATACTATCATTCAGAATTTTATTTTTAAATGGCAAATTCTCAAATGCGCATAGAGTTTATATTTTATATTTAGTATATATCATAAAGTTCTTTTATTATATTATCATAGGATTTAAACACAATAAGGTAAAAATACTGTAAGGATATTTAACGTCGAATCTACCTAAGTATAATTTAATCTATACTAATATTATAAAGAGTTTGTTTGAACGCGCTAATCTCTGAAACTGATGGTTTGCATTTAAAAAATATTGTTGTTTTGATTGGACTATTTATGGAGAAAGGGCAATAGTTCAACCAACTAACTAAATTAACTATTCCACGCGAAAGTTTTAAATAATCTGTCATTTTCATTCGTAACTTAGAATAAGTGGCTTGTTATTTCAGAATTTCTTACCAGTCTAATTTAAAGAAAATAATATTATTTTTCAAAAATATTATTACTAGCGTCAAGATTTAATACTTATTATGCAAGTGTGGAGTCTTATTGCTATACAATTTACCTAGCCAATAAACACTTAATATGACATTAAAATGGATCGAGAAGACAGTTTAATGTACATCTTGATAAATGTAACGTCATCTCTTGTGAACGGCTGACAGATTAAGTAGCTCATAACATTGGATAACTTCAACGTTACTACATTACTAAAAGACTTTTCTTTCTTTGTCGAACCTTGCTGTTAAAGTAAAACGGGCTAATTTTATTTTTAAAAGTTTCAATGCAATTTATTAATGAGTTTAAAAATAGTGTATAGTAAGAAGGAAAGAATCGAAAGAAGAGACAGGTTTTTTTATATTGACACTGACAATTTACTGTATGTATTGAGAAGGCGGCGGAAGGCGTGTTATTAATTACATTTAATACATACGCAGTAGCGTCAAGCGAGTGTGTTTCCAAAAAAACATTAAAATGTTTGTACACTACAAACGTATATATTCCCTACATATAAATAGGCAACAAGACTTGTCACTTGCTAGCATGTAGATAAACATGACTGATCATCATCAATCAAACATCTTTTTCGCATTCATGCCCACATGTAGAGAAATATGATCTTCGTCCAAACTAAGTGCAATCATCATGTTTCTCTAAAGGTATTTTTTCAATTTTGCGATTAGGGGGTAGGTTTGTACGTGAAATCAAATAAATGTTTATCTATTTCTTTATAACACGTGGAGGAATATAAAAACTCGACGCACAACATTTGATGGCGTTATCTGTTCTAATATTATAATGCTAAAAAGCTTTTTTGTTTGAACCCGCTAATTTCACTATTCGATGGAATTGAATTATTTTTGTGTTGGGCAATTTAACGAGAAAGGTTTTAGGCTATTAAAGATCGAGCTGCGAATAATAGGAGCGGAGAAACAGATGGATTCGAAAAAACGTTGCATGCACTGCGAAAACGATTTAAGAAACCAAAAAAGATCAACGACATACATTCAGCGTATATGTTTCTCTTTTAAGATTACCTCGCAAGAACGACACGACACGGACGAACGGGACACGGGCGACGTTGTAGGTAGTAGCTATAATTTAAAAAACTGAGGTTTAGGTAAACTGTGGAAATTAAATTTGATGCTCAAACTTTTCGTGAGTAACTGAGAAATTATTGACGATGTTAAATAATTTCTTAATTACGACGACAAAAAAACTAAGAAGATTTCCAAAATAGCAGTGAAAGCTTAATACATTATAAAATATGGAAATTGTAAGCTCTTCATTACTTTGGTATTACCATTTTTACGTTGAGTTTTTAATTAAAACACTTTAACGGTTTAAAACGCGATATATTAGTTAAACTTATATAATTATATCGCGTTTTAAACCGTTAAAGTGTTTCATTTAAATGTGTACTACTCGCGTAAACTATGGACACGTTGAGTTTTATCTATATTTTTTACTGTAATGTGGCAGATTACAATACGATACTCTT